AAACCCTAGGTAATCAACCTAACACGTCTTAGACACTTCCTAGAGCTTTAAGAAGCTTTCTCTTGAGTTCTAAACCCCGGAATATTGATTCCAAGTCAAGGACGTCGTTTTCTCTTCACAAATCCTAGCAGATACGTTCCAAAGTGTTGGAATCCTTCCCGCCGGTGTGGATACGTATAGAGGAGTTGTACTTTCAACTCTTGGTGATTAAAACAGGCTCTGGATCGATTAATACTTCCAGATCTTGATAGAACGAGATAAGTATTCGAATTCCACGGTGATATACACGTTCTTTTGGGTTATTGCACAATTGGTTTTGTGTGACGTTTGGCTAGGTTTAGATCTTTTCTTCCGCTGCATGAAACCTAGGAACCAAACCCTAGATCGATGAGATCGTATGCTAGGAACCCGTAGATAACCCAACACACACTATAGACGAGCACCGTCTATTTCGTACAGTCGAACTCAGCAAACGAGAAAGCAGTTGAATTAGATAAGGTCACGAACAAACTCTATTCGAGATAGGTAGTCATAGTGTCTTGCTAGAGACCGCCTATGACTTGTATACCGGAAATGGAGATTTTGGTTATACTGCTATATCGGATGAGCCTATAGGGTCACACACGTAGGGAAGGACAAATGCACGAGAAAAACGGCGAAAATCCGAGACAGAGGGTCCAGACCCGACGGTCCAGCAGGTCCAGCCCCGACGGTCCAGAGGGTGTCAGTCTGTCTGTTCCGGAATGTCTGGAACGGACGGTCCGCATAACCCAGACCATCTGTTCTGGAGTGTTGGAACAGACGGTCTATGTGTAAATCTGGACCGTCCGTTCCGACTTTCGGGATTTTCGAAAATAAGTCAAAATTAGAGTTAATCACTTTATAAAAAGGAGATTAAGGACCCTAATTGAAGAGAGCCGAAAAAGACAACTTCTACAGACCTCTTTGTGAGCTTTGAGGGTCTAGGAAGTGATCTAAAATCCCGTTTTCTCATAGCATATTATCGAATAATAGATTTGGGTCCTAGCAAACAAGTTCCAATCGTTGGAATCCATTCTGAGGTGTGGATACGTATAGAGGGCGAGGTAATCTTCCTCCCTTTTGTGATCGAACGAACACATCAATTGATACAGGTCCATTCTTAGGGTTTATTAGAAAATTTTTGTTTTACATCCGCTGCACAAACTCTAGAATCGATCTCTTAGGAATAACATGGTCTTGAGCTGATTGATCATATCAAACACGCTCTTTCCCTCAAACTGCCTTTGCAGATTCGGTGCCATGCTCCCCAACATGAGACAGAAAATCTCATTGTCGTCAGTCTGATGCTTCAACCAAGCATTGGCCGCAGGCTCTAGAGGTAGAGCCCCTTCCAGGACGTATGACTTCTTGTCGTGCTTGAGAACAATTCTCAAGTTACGATACCAGTCCAAGAACTTCGTCCCGATCAACTTATCATTCTCAAGGATAGATCGCATCGTCAAACTCGGTACACTACTAGTCGATGCCATGTCCTACAGAAAAAGACAAAACACAACGAACAAAACAAAATACAGATTCTATCGATGATCCACTACCAGCTAGTCCATCACCAGTCAATGACAACATAGATGCATACACGAGCTAAAATCCCATAAAGAAAAATAACCCTATAATAATTTTCTATATGGGACTAAGATCCATATTTCACATAAGAATGAGTTGTTACACTCAGCCTTATGCTATTTAGATAGACATCTAATGTCAATCACATCCAATATGACTCTTAGATCCTTTATGAGACTATGATATCCAATATCATTGCATACTCGTCTCATCTATACCGTTAAGTCTCAAGTCAAACTTGACAACTTAACATAAGCTAAACCATATTCAAGCTGTGGGAACCACGATTTCCCACCTTGCCTCACGAAGATAATCCGGCACGCTCAGCTTTGGCATGACCCTTGACACGGATGATCGATGCCTTGACAAGTGCTCTAGTAATGGAAGGTACAAGCTTAACATTACATAAAAAGGATTTTTAAACCACACTTAGATCAAGTATCTACTTTCAAGCTATGAGAACCATTATTTCTCCATCTTGCCTCACCAAGATAGCATGACACACCCAGCTTTGGCATGGCCCATGACACGTATGATCGAGGCCTTGACAAGTGCTTTACTCGTAGAGCTCCTACGTCTAACCGGTTTAGGTGTAACGATTGTACCATACGAATCAAGGATCAACTATTGTTCCTTGATCAGATGAATTACATAATCCGAATAGACCATCCATTCGATTATGTAATCCCAATCCCGAAACTCCCACTCAATCAAGCATATCCAATATCTTGATTAAGTTACATGTATTCATTCACTATGGACCATCCATAAGAATGAATCATGTCTATTTGAGTCATAGTTAATCAGATTAAGTAACGATTGCACAATCGAATTTAGAAAACGGAAAAATTTCGGAATCTGCACCTCGGACCGTCCAGTCTGGACTATAGACCGGATGATCCAGCCTTGGCAGTCGGAACGGACGGTCTGACACTCAGACCGTCCGGTCCAGACTTGCAATTCGAGGGTCAGACCTTCCTTTCCGTAACCCTATTCCGCCACCCCTGGACCGTCCAGTCTGATAGCCAGAACGGACTATCTAGGATTACATGATCAAATCTCATTTTTCGCGTTCTCGAGTTCAGATCAGACCCGAAACACCTTCGAATTCACTTGTAGACCCAAAATTCGAACTCTTGCACTCTATGGAACATAAAACATGTAATCTACCATAGATTCAATCATCAAACATGCATAGAAATCAAAGCAAACATGGATTTAACGATTTAAACCCAAAAACGTGTGTGATTGGGTTCATACGAAATCAAACAGAGCAACCAAACTTTGATACCACTGTTGGGAATTCCTGGGATCTGTACAGCGAATCGAATTCCTAAGAGATCGATTCTAGGGTTTGCGCAGCGGATGTAAAACAAAAATTTTCTAATAAATCCTAAAACCAAGCATGCATAATTTCGTAGAAACATTAGAACGCTTACCTCAATCGATCTGGGGCCTATATCAACTGATGTGTTCGTTCGATCACAAAAGGGAGGAAGATTACCTCGCGCTCTACACATATCCACACCTCGGGAGGATTCCAACGATTGGAACTTATCTGCTAGGATCCGAATCTGCTATTCGGTAATGTGCTACGAGAAAACGGGATTTAGATCACTTCTTAGACCCTCAAAGCTCACCAAAAGGTATGTAGAAGCTCATTTGTTCATCCCACACATATTAGGGTTCTTAATCTCCTTCTTATAAAGTGATTAACCCTAATTTTAATTTAATTTCGAAAAACCCGAAATTCGGAACGGACGGACCAGATTTAAACGTGGACCATCCGTTCCAGACATTCTAGAAAGGACGGTCTGAGTTACATGGACCGTTTGTTCAAGACACTCCAGAACGGACGAATTCCCACATTGCACCGTCAGGTCTGAACCTGCTGGACCGTCCGGTCCATTTACGTGGACTGTCCGATCCAGACATCCTGTCTCGGTTTTTCGTCGTTTTCTCGTGCATTTGTCCTTCCATGCGTGTATGACCCTGTAGGCTCATTCGATATAGCAATATACACGAAATCTCCATTTCGAGTATATAAGTCATAGGCGGTCTCTAGCAAGACACTATGACTACCTATCTCGAATAGAGTTTGTTCGTGATCTTACGAACGTCAGTGATGATTACGGTTGATGATCCTTTTGTATCACGATATCATATGTCGAACATAAGGCATAGAAAAACTCATCTGATTCGACTGCTTTCTCGTTTGCTGAGTTCGACTGTACGAAATAGACGACGTTCGTCTATTGTGTGGCCACACATTTCTACATTCTCGCTCACACGAGGGCCCCAGCGATATCTCTCTCTTTTATGAGAGATACAAATCCCACCTTGACTATCTACAATACAGCACATGATTCGTATCGTACTTGATACACGCCTTTATAGTCCTCCTGTTACGCAGGACGTTTGATGTATTCAAAGCACACAACTCCTCATGTTGGATTCCGTAGATATCTCAGGTTATAGAATCCAATCCTGGAATCGTCACATGAGATTCAAGTCATGATGCTTGTCCATGTGACAATCTCATGCGGGTCATTCCAGTATTCCATTTTCCAACAAACACCTATGATTGTGATCATATCCAATACCCACGATCATCTTTATGATCATCTATCACACATCATACTAGTCTTAGTACATCATTGTTCCCACAATGACATATGACTAGGGAGTTTAGCATTGTTCATAACAATACATGGATTTCATAACATATTAAAGTATGCACAATACGTAATGAATCAAACACTCATCTATATAACCATAGTAAGTGTCAATACATCAAATGTATCTTAAATAAAGCTTATATAGCAATACATCATAGAGCACTAAACCAACAATTGACCGATTATCATTGTTATTATTATTCTTTCAATCCGTATTATGTTTATCTCAAATGCTCCATCGCTTTCTAAAATTTGTTATTCTTGGTGGGACCCTTTTCGGACCACCGCTCAATGGGATCTTTTGTGCACATGGCTGCTCCTTCTTGTTTGCCTTAAGATAGGGACCTGAAAAGGGTCAATTTTTCTCACTCTTTTGATGCTTGTGTTTATTCCAGATGAGGCTCAATGTAATATGTTTGCATGCCACATTACATATTCGAAAGTTTCACGGTTTAGATCAGGTTTAGTTCACCAGGTTTGATACATTTTCTTAAGTTCTATATCTACCTCGACTAGTGTTTGTCAACATTCTCTAAGACATAGTCCCTAAGTTGCGAAAATAACTAACATGATACGAATTTATGGTGATATCTGAGTTTTTATGCATTCTTTTTCAAAATATATGCCTGGGTATTTTTCCACTACATAGAATTTTTTGTTTGTTTGGATTCGAGATATCTTCTATGCACAAATAAATTTTTAAGGGAATAAATTGTAGAAATACGAACTTTGAGACAAAGGTGAGTTCAAAAGCGGCTGAAATACAAAATAAAAATGAAACACAAAGAATACGGTTCACACTAGAACAAAGAATACCCATATATATATGTTGTCATTACGAAAATATGTTCAAATTTACTTCTAAGCATCAACTACTTACAATGCTCAAATATAAATGTCATTTACTTGTTTTTTTTGTTGTTTTTGTAACAGACCAGTTAGCTGGAAAATTTTTAGGTCTCATGCGTGTGGAAGGGGCAAACTATATTGGTTTAATAGCCAGGGAAGATCGGTGGCGGTGGCGATGCATATTGGAATCCAATGTTCGGTGGGAGTATGAAGTCATCATCATAACCACCATCATTGGCTCCTGGTGTTGGTGCATTTGCATCAGGTGCCAAAGATGGAGAAGATGTGGTTGGTGATGGTGGGGTCGGAGTCTGATGTTGTTCAAATGATGGTGTAGGGGCTTGTCCAGGTTCAGAACTTGGTGTGGAGGCCTGAACTGGTTCAGAAACTGGTGTGGGAGCTTGAACTGGTACAGGTTCAGGGGCATTAAAGATTTCGGGCGATGGGGTCGGTGCTTGGTTATACGCCGAGTACACAGATGGTGCTTGAACTGGTGTCGATGATTGAATTGGTTCTTGAACTGGTGATGATGATGGTGTTGGAGATTCTACTGAAGGTGGTTGCGCAGCTATTGGTGCTGGCGACGGTGAGTAAATTGGTGAAGGGGGAGAGTAGACGGGCGGTCGTGGGGAGTAGATCAGAGGAGGCGGCGAGTGAACCGGTAGTGGAGGAGGAGAGTAGACTGGCGGAGGTGGTGGTGAGTGGATTGGTGGAGGTGGTGAATAGACTGGCGGTGGTGGAGGAGAGTGAACTGGAGGTCGTGGGGAGTAAACCGTTGGCGGTGGAGAAAACACGGGGGTCGGTGGTGGAGGAGGAGATTGCAGGGGTAGTTGAGGAGGTGGGGAGTTTGTTTCTACTCTTGGCGGTGGGGGAGGACGACGTTTTCTGACGGGAGAAGCGTCATATGGGTCTTCAGGTATCGGTGACTCCTCCGGAGGGGAAATCGGTTGTGGTGTCTTAGACTTTGGTGGTCCTTCACGCATAGGTGGCTCTGGTTTTGGCGGTTGTTCTTGTTTTGGTGGCTCTGACTTGGACAAGTCTGAATCCCCAGGTTTTGGTGGTTTTGGCTCAAGAGATTCCACTGGTTTTGGAGGTTTTGGCTTTGGAGAGTCCTCGGGTTTGGGTGGTTCTGGCTTTGGAGTTTCAGGTTTTGTTGATTTTGAGGGCTCGGGCTTGGGTGACTCCTCATATTTAGGCGGTTGTGGTGATTTTGGTGGCGAGTCCTCGGGTTTAGGTGGTTCTAGCTTAGGAGTTTCGGGTTTTGGAGGCTCAGGCTTGGGTGACTCATTTGATTTAGGCGGTTGTGGTAACTTTGGTGGCTTAGGGTTTGATGTTTCTGGCTTGGGAGTTTCAGGTGTGGGTGCTTTTGGTGGCTCGGTTTTGGGTGTTTCTGGCTTAGGAGTTTTGGGTTCCGGTGTTTTTGGTGGCTCATGTTTTGGTGTTTCTGGTTTAGGAGTTTCGGGTTTTGGTGTTTTTGGTGGCTCAGGTTTTGGTGTTTCTGACTTAGGAGTTTCGGGTTTTGGTGTTTTTGATGGCTTGGGTTTCGATGTTTCTGGTTTAGGAGTTTCGGGTTTTGGTATTTTTGGTGGCTCGAGTTTTGGTGTTTCTAGCTTAGGAATTTCAGGTTTGGGTGACTCATCGGGTTTAGGAAGTTCGGGTTTAGGTATTTTAGGTTTTGGCAATGTCGGCGGCTCTGGCTTCGAAGACTCATCTGGCTTAGATGGCTTAGGTTTGGGTGATGGTTCTTTGATTTTCGATGGTTCAGGTTTCGGCGGACTTACTTCAGGCTCAGGCTTCGACATCTTTGGTGGATCCGGTTGATGGGAAGGAGATGGCTTTGGCGATGGATTAACCGCAGACTTCTGACCTGAACCACCACCGTCACTACCACCACCGCCACCAGCACATTTGTCTTTACTGCAATCCACTGGATGACTCAAAACCGGTAAGCATTCTTTAGCAGATTTCTGTTTCGGTCTATTTTGTAAACAATTGCTTGTATCATCGAATACTTTCTCGTTGCTTGTCCCCGGAACACAAGCCTGGCTTTCTCCGTTGAAGAAATTGTATGAAAACGTGAAGTTGACCAATTTGGGTAACTTGCAGATGTTTTCGCCGACAAATCCTGTGAGCTTATTGCCTGAGAAATCGAGCTGTTCCACGTTTGCTAAACCCGACAAGCTCGACGGTAAAATTCCGAAGAATCCATTATTGCTCGCATCGAAGACTGTGACGTTGTTCAATAATCCTATCTCGGATGGGAAACAACCGCTGAGATTGTTCCCGATGAAGACGATCTCGTTTAGATTCTTCATCTTTCCGATCGTCTTTGGAATGCACCCACTAAACTTGTTGTGAGCGAATGTCACGACGGACGCAGTCGATTTCCCAATCGTATTAGGGATTGTCGATTCAAACCTGTTGTTGTTCAAGAAAATGGCGTCGAGATCCTTGTCGAATACCTCTTCCGGTAATTTTCCTTCGAAATCATTGTATCTGATGTCTAGATACTTCAAAGCCGGCCACGAGAGGGTAACAGTTGGGAACGGACCGACGAAACGATTATTGCTGATGTCAAATTCGTACATCAATGTCAATTTCGAGAGACTCTTCGGGATGATCCCACAGAACCGGTTGGAGTTAATGTGAAATAACGCGACATCAGTCATCAACCCTAGCTCGGGAGGTAAGTACCCGGCTATATCCGCGTGATTGAGGTCGATCCCAGCCACGACGGTGATACTAGCGTCATCAAGTGCAGATGCACAGAAGACCCCAGTGTAGGCACATACGTAAGGACCGACCCAGTTAACCGTGGTGTTAAAAGGGTCAGAATACATCGCCTTCTTCCACGTCTGGAGAGCGATGTAAGCCCTCTTCAAGCGGGAATTAGCGAACGTGAGATTCTCGTCGACCTCGTACTCAATATCTTCGGGGAGATCCCCATTCTCGCCTAATGCCAGTAGCTGGCGTCGAGCGATAAAGGAGGCCTCCTCGTCGGAGAGGGCGGCCATGGAGGGGACGATAACGGTGAGAACCACCGTGGAGAAAACAAGAAGGAAACAGCCTAAGGGCCTCTCCATTGTTCTCGGTACTGTGGGTAATGGTTTCTGGTGAAAACCTTGGAGAAGCCAAAGCTTAATAGAACTTTGGGAAGGTCAAGAATGAAGGGAGGTTATTGCAAAGAAGCCAACCAATCCAACGGCTTTTTTTTAGAGGTTTTTTACTAAATTTGGGAAATTTCTAGTTTTTATTTACCAAAAAAAAAAGAAACTTGAATTTTTTTTTCAAGAATAGAAAATGTAGCTAATTAGGAAAGACAAATTATCTGGCCATTGACGAAGTCGGTCATCACACAACGTCTAACAAAGCTTTGACTCTTTTTTACCATCACTTGAAGACTTTGCGATCCATACAAAAATTTATTTATTTTTTCTTATTGCAGAAAGTGATCGGGTAAAAATAAAATTGAATTATAGACAGAGAAACAAAGAAGATAGTGAAATAAATTTTTTTTCAGTATTTTCAATAAACGAAAATCAAATTGTTTTAAGCACATATATAAGAAGACGACGAAAAAACCAACCATAACCGCTAATATATTCTAATAACCATAACCGGTTATATATATTTTAATAAAATTTACTGAAACGTTATGTGGCAAGTTGTTAAGCTCATGGGTTTCGATTTGTTATTTTTCATGAAATGCGATAACGATGTGTTTTCAAAAGATTTAATTGTACAAAGACGAATCGGAGTTTATGAAACTAACATTTCTTTGGACGTTATTTTTCTTATAGATGATTTCAATTGATTTCTTCAAGTTGAAGGGTTTTAATTTGAGTTTAAAGTATAATCAAATAGAAAAACATTTATAAATTAATAAACCTTGTTAAATCTCCATATTTACTTTACATATTCCATGCTTGCACTTAGTACCATATAATTAAAAATGTAAAAACAAGATTAAAACATTATACAGATAACATATTAAGCTACTTCCTTTGGTTTTAGCATTCTTCCATTTTTCTGTTGCCGGTAATTGTGTTATGTAATAATTATCTATTGAATATTATATATAGATTTGTTTATTTTAGAATATTCCATTTCTTATGTTATATAGTTTGCATGTTCTGTATTTAATATAGTAATCGAAGAGTCATTATGAATAATTTTAAACACCTAGGTCAATCATGAATAATTTAAAACACCTAGGTCAATCACCATAATGTGAAATATGATTGAATTAAAACTAGCATAAAACGACTAGCATAAGGCATAACTAGATAATATTATAATATATTGGATATAGTTTTCTGATATATGATCTTTAGACATGATCATTACTATCATACATGAGAAGTAACGTTGTTTTGACATAGTTAAATCATTTGATGACAATAAGTGGTCAAGATGAGATTTTTTCTACGTCTCTGGTCTTCTTCTGCTCCTCTATCTCCTCAGCCTCCCAACCCCAAACAACTCTCTCTCCCAAACGGCACCAACACCACTCCACCCCCAAACTCAGAAAGCCAAGCCCAACCGAATCTACAACCAGTGTTTTCCCAACCTCCATCCTGACCTAGCCCCACTACACACCCGATTAAACCCAAACACGTCCCCCTTCACCACCACTGTCACCTCGCCACTTAAACCTTCAAATCGAGCTCCTCACCTCACCATTATGTCCGACTGGTGGCTCGCTATCTCCTGATAGAAGACATTCTACCTCTTTGCCAACGAAACCCATAAGTCTCAGGACCCGATCTCGTTGTTGGTTTAGGTGCTCTATGTTACTTTACGATATGAGTAACGAGACATTTTGTACTGAAGATTCACGGTTTTGGTTTAAGTGAATGGATGTTCTTTTTCTTTATTCGTTTTGCATATTTGATGAATAAGAAAATCCATGATTTGTTATAAACGATCCTAAACTTCTCTTGATCGATTCCAAGTGGACGTCGAATTCTCTTCAAAAATCCTAGTAGATTCGTTCTAAATCATTTCGAATCTTTTCCGCCGGTGTGGATACATAAGGAGTTGTACTTTCAGTTCTTGGTGATTAAAACAGGTCTCGGATCGATCAAGAGGTAAGTATTTGATTCCTTCAGTGATATACACGATTATCGGGGGTTTTGTTACGTGTTGGGTTGTGTGTGATGTTTGATCACACGGGTTTTTCACCGGTTTTATAACGTCATGCATCATAATTCTTCTCTCATTCTAGACATTATAGGATGTTAGATGGCCATGGGTAGGTTGTTTTGCTTGTTTTTTATTACAGGAAGACTCCACGATGGATCCTCACGAAGCGGGCACGGAAGAACAAGAATTCGAGAAAGCTCGGGAAGCTCAGAGAAAATGAGCGACCCGCCCATTTTATGGGCGGTCGCTCATTTTGTGAGCGGTCGCTCATTTTATAAGCGATCGCTTGCTTTTCGCATGTGCAGAGGAAAATGAGCGACCCGTCCGAAAAATGAGCGACCGCCTGAAATCAAAATCGGCCCAAAAAGAAAAAGCCCGTGTTTTGAGGAGAAAACCTAATTCTGGACTTTGACAAAAAGGGGAGTTTGAGGAGAGAGAAGGGGGGCTACACACTTTGGAGAGAGACTTGACTTGGAAGAGGAAAGAGAAGGGATTTTGGAGATCAAGGAGGCTAGGAGAAGAAGAAGACCACCATTGAAGACCATCTTGAGCATTTCTTCTCCTTTTCCATGTTTCTTCATTTTGCTTTCTGTTTTGAAACCCTAGTTATGGAGTAGTGATTTTGTTGTGGGTGAGGGATCCCCACTTTTGTATGGACACCTAAGCTTAATCTATGATGTCTTTGAGTTTTCTTCCATTGGTTTGATGTTTTATGCTTAATGCTATTGATTTGGGCGAAACCCTAATTGATATGACCATAGAACACATTGATCATAGGGATATGGGAATGATGTTTGGAACTAAATGTCAAATGAGTGAGTTATTCACATTGGGAGATGGCTTAGCTTGCTTAGGGTTCATGATGGGGTACATTAATGCATCTAGAGATCATTTGGATCATTGGGAAATGAGTGAATCGATTCTCTAAGTAGTGAGTTTAAGCTCGGGAGAGACAAACTCTAGAGGAAGTGGTTGAAACCCCCAATTGGAAGACAAATCCTAAGACATTGTAGCACCACTAACTGTCCATGCGATTTATGAGGGATCCCAAACCTATAACGCCTCAAACCATCGTTTACAAACCGTTAATTTTACTTGCTTTCTTGTATTCCGACACTTACCACAAAGCACATCTTTACTCGACCACCTAATCTAGCTTAGAGATAGACTAATACATCCTAGTCCTCGTGTTCGACCCCGGTACTACAACTACCGTATACTTGCGGATAGTGGTATGAATCGGGTACTAAATATAAGACTCGGTGCGTGCGCATTAAGTTTTTGACGCCGTTACCGGGGACTAGGCGTTTTCGTGTTAGTCTAGATTTTTGCTAGATTTTTGCTAGATCACCATTACCGGGGAATGGTTAGTCTGTTCGGTCTGACTCTTCAGTCCGTCCGGTCTGACTCTTCAGTCCGTTCGGCCTGACTCTCCAGACCGTTCGGTCCAGACCAATGGTCCGGACTCTTGCCCCTTTGAACCTTCTCTCTCCGACTAGTGACCTAGATCGGACGGACTGGCTAAGCAGTCCGTTCGGTCTACACACCTTAGTCCGTTCGGTCCAACATCTTGGTCCGAACGAACTGGATCCTCTAGTCCAGAGGAATCAGTCCGTTCGGTCTACACACCTTAGTCCGTTCGGTCCAACATCTTGGTCCGAACGAACTGGATCCTCTAGTCCAGAGGAATGACGAACCCTAGACCGTCCGGTCCAGAGGACCAGACCGTTCGGTCTAGGCGGAAAAACGCGATCAGATCACGTTCTTCGTCGTTTCGGTCCCG